TATATATATATATATATATATATATATATATATATATATACTTCTTTATATCCATACAGATGTTCATGACTGAAATTGAAAAATAAATATTAAATAAATAAATAAATAAATGTTTGCTCCTTTAAAAAAGTAATTTAGCTGATTTACTTGCTCATTATCGTTCCAGTAATCCATATAGCTTTTCTGTTTTCACATATACACTGTATCTTGCCCCATGTCCTGTCTCTTGTGTTGTGTTGCCAGGCGTTCTGTCCCCAGAATGTCCTCTACAGAAAGTCGAAGTGTGGACAACCCGTACGACTTCAGGCATCTGCTGAGGAAGACCTCACAGAGACGCAAGCTCATCAAACAGTACTGAAGAACATCCAACCATCTGCTCCAGCTCAGCCTGACAAAATTGTTCTGTCAGTAAATCAGTTCCTCATTGACCTTATTGATTTAATCTGCACAGGCTGGAGATTAGACTGTAAATATTGAAACTTAAACCTGTTGTATATTACGAATTATCTGTGCAATCTGTAATAGACAAATCAGCACTTTTGTTTTTTTGACCAAGTAGAACTCTTGATGCTCACATACATGAATTCTGTGCATCCTGAATCATTCTCAGACATATTTTTGGTATAAAAAATAAAAATAAACAGCTTCAGTATTCAGTCAGAAATGTTCACCTTTTGTGTAATGTCTGATTTAAACTTGAATAAATTATTTGTTTTATTTGCTTTAACGACTCACATCTTTCTTATTTCTTCACCCCAATTTATTTTTAATATATATACAGGTCCTTCTCAAAAAATTAGCATATTGTGATAAAGGTCATTATTTTCCATAATGTAATGATAAAAATGAAACTTTCATATATTTCAGATTCATTGCACACCAACTGAAATATTTCAGGTCTTTAATTGTTTTAATACTGATGATTATGGCATACAGCTCATGAAAACCCAAAATGCCTGTCTCAAAAAATTAGCATATCATGAAAAGGTTCTCTAAACAAGCTATTAACCTAACCATCTGAATCAACGACGTAACTCTAAACACCTGCAAAAGATTCCTGAGGCTTTTAAAAACTCCCAGCCTTGTTCATTACTCAAAACCGCAATCATGGGTAAGACTGCCGACCTGACTGCTGTCCAGAAGGCCATCATTGACACCCTCAAGCAAGAGGGTAAGACACAGAAAGAAATTGCTGAACGAATAGGCTGTTCCCAGAGTGCTGTATCAAGGCACCTCAGTGGGAAGTCTGTGGGAAGGGAAAAGTGTGGCAGAAAACGCTGCACAACGAGAAGAGGTGACCGGACCCTGAGGAGGATTGTGGAGAAGGGCCGATTCCAGACCTTGGGGGACCTGCGGAAGCAGTGGACTGAGTCTGGAGTAGAAACATCCAGAGCCACCGTGCACAGGCGTGTGCAGGAAATGGGCTACAGGTGCAGCATTCCCCAGGTCAAGCCACTCTTGAACAAGAGACTGCGTCAGAAGCATCTCGCCTGGGACTGCTGCTGAGTGGTCCAAAGTTATGTTCTCTGATTACAGTAAATTTTGCATTTCCTTTGTAAATCAAGGTCCCAGAGTCTGGAGGAAGAGAGTAGACACAGAATTCACATTGCTTGAGGTCCAGTGTCAAGTTTCCACAGTCACTGGGGTGTCATGTCATCTGCTGGTGTTGGTCCACTGTGTTTTATCAAGGGCAGGGTCAATGCAGCTAGCTATCAGGAGATTTTAGAGCACTTTATGCTTCCATCTGCTGAAAAGCTTTATGGAGATGAAGATTTCATTTTTCAGCACGACCTGGCACCTGCTCACAGTGCCAAAACCACTGGTAAATGGTTTAGTGACCATGGTATTACTGTGCTCAATTGGCCTGCCAACTCTCCTGACCTGAACCCCATAGAGAACCTGTGGGATATTGTGAAGAGAAAGTTGAGAGACGCAAGACCCAACACTCTGGATGAGCTTAAGGCCGCTATCGAAGCATCCTGGGCCTCCATAACACCTCAGCAGTGCCACAGGCTGATTGCCTCCATGCCACACCGCATTGAAGCAGTCATTCATGCAAAAGGATTCCCGACCAAGTATTGAGTGCATAACTGAACATGATTATTTGAAGGTTGGCGTTTTTAGTATTAAAAACACGTCTTTCATTGGTGGGATGAAATATGCTAATTTTTTGGGACAGGCATTTTGGGTTTTCATGAGCTGTATGCCATAATCATCAGTATTAAAACAATTAAAGACCTGAAATATTTCAGTTGGTCTACAATGAATCTGAAATGTATGAAAGTTTCATTTTTATCATTACATTATGGAAAATAATGACCTTTATCACAATATGCTAATTTTTTTAGAAGGACCTGTATATATGTTTAAAAATCTATTTGCTTCCCATTTCTTCTTCAATAACTACATTACCAACATCAATTTCATGGATCCATTTTGTAAAAAGTAAAATATGAAACCAGCCCCAGTGATTTCTTTTTTCCTTCAGACACAACCTTTGACCTTTAAGTGACATTTTAAAGGGGGAACAGCCCCACAGGCAGGTATCATGGCAGCTGGATCAGCTACTGTACACTCTCATGGCACAGAAACACAAACAACAAGGATGTGCTCCAGTTTTCAGCTCGGGGGAGGTGGACAACAATATTTCTCCCCGAACAGAATGTAAAATCTGCAGAGACAATAAAATGGAAGGAAAGGCTCGTTGTTTACATTAAAAAAGGTTTTAATTGAATTATGGTGTTACATAACGGCCTGCAGGAATGCATGTTGCTCACTGCCTTTTTAGACTAAAATCATTTCATGTTGAAAATGAACTCATGCACAGTCTAACTGGATTTTATAAGATGTGCAGTGTTTTCAGTAAAGGCACTCCAAGTTCAGCACATCTGTCAAACAGACAACCGTGTATGTGTTTTCCAAGGTGAGCTGGCAGCCATCTTGAAATGAGCTGGAATCAGGTGCCTTGTTGCTGTTTTAAGTGCTCTATCAATAAATTGGTATGGTATGGTAGGTGTACTTACTGATGATGATTTCTTGAACATTAATAGCAACATGTCAAAGAATATGCATCTTTTAGAGCTCAAAATATGTGTTGGGAATCAGTTTCAGCAACAACCACACCAAATTGTAGATTGTGCGTAAAATTGACTGACTTAGAGACATTTTTGTGGGGGGGTTTTTTGTTTTGTTTTTTTTTAGTTTGCTGCGGCACCTTAGACTCCAAAATGTATCAGACAGATGTTCCTCCAGTGATTATGTTCAGAAAAGTTAATTAAAATACGTCCAGTGGTTTATGAGATATAACACGGATTAATTAAATAATTTTTTTAAATTATTTATTTATTTTAACTCCGTCCAGTGGTTTATGAGATATAACACGCATACTGTTTTTTTTTTTAGTTGTTTGACTTTAAGCCTAAAAATTAAACACAAGCTGTGTTTTATTTCAGGCCAGGAATTTATTAATATTTCTGAATTACTGCATGAAGATTTATTTAAAAAGGAAAAAAAAAAACATGACAATGCCATCAGAACTCTGCCAGAAGAGGCCTTGAGTAATTTTTTATCTTTTAAAGAGGCTGCTGAGGACTTTCTCTTTATTTTAGATTTTTTTTTAATTCAAATGCTCTCAAATATTAACTTTAGAGGCCCGATAGGTTATTCAAATATCCATCCAGAATATAACAAATATATTCTGGGTTAAGCAATGTGCATCACCAAAGGGAGGAGGGATATGATGCGCACTTCGTGGTTTTGCGCCGACCCTCACATCCACCCTGCCCCCCCCCCCCCCCCCGGCTCCTCTCTCTGGAGGCGGACAATTAGAGCAAACCCAGAAAAAAGCGCCGCAGTCTGTGCGCGGATGGATTAGTTGGCATTCAGAGTCTGTGTGGAGTGTGCGTGGCGCGCAGGCAGGGGCCAACATGTTGGGGGTGTTTTTGGAGTCACGACGCGCGACGCAGCGCGGCTCGTCATGACCCTGAAGTGAATCACCATGGGGTCTTTTCTGCTGACGTGATTTTTTTTATTTTTTTTTTTTTTTTTAAAGCACGAGTCGTGTGCGCCATATTTAGCTGTTTATTATTTATTTATTTTAAATGTAGCACATTTTCATCTTGAACTTGTGTTTGCTTTCATTCCCCCCACCCCTCCCTCACTGAGTGAAAGTGGTGATCGCTGAGTGCTTCTTTTTTTTTTTTTTTTTTTGCGGATTTCTGTGCGCACACGCAGCTTCATGCCCCGCCGCGCACCTGTGGACGCTCGCTTTGTGCTTCCCGTTGTATTCGTATAGCGGCGGTGCGCGCGCGCGGTTCGGCGGCAGCAGGCAGCGCACGGCTCTGAACAGCTCCGGGCGCGTTTGGATGGGCTCCGCCGACGTGCGTGCGTCCCCCGGCTGCTCCTAACAACCATGGCTTCGCACGGCTTCTGGGCGCTCGGCGGTGATAACAACGCGGGGGCCAACACCGAGAGCCAGAGCCCCAGCACGCGTGAGTGCCTTTATTGTCTGAGAACATGCGGCTGCAGACAGCGCGTGCTCGTGCTGCTGTTTTTGGTTGAATCCATCCCATTTGTTTCTATTTCTAACAAACTTGGATGCTCTGATTTATTCTGCAGCCAGAGCTTGGTGCCAAGCGGCGGCCCAGAAATTATCTGGAGGAATCGGATCTAAATTATACGGTATGTTGCAGCATTTGTGTCCTTATTGCGTCTATTATCGTTTCTTTTTATTTTATAGTTATTGTTGGTGTTTTCCAAAGCGCTGCTGAATGTGGGGGAAGTGGAGAAAAGCGCGGAAGCGGCCGAGCAGCCGCCGCAGCCCGCTGCAGGGAGCTACGGCTGCAACAAAACAGACGGGCTCTTCTCCCACCTCTATTCAACAGGTACACACACACAACTGCACGTTTTATAAATTAAATCGACTTGAATATTTTCCTTCACGCGGAGCATGTATCATTTAATCATCCAGCAGGCCCTGTCAGTCGCTTATTGTTGTTAAATGATCGAAATTATGTTTGATATATTTGCACCTGATTGCAAAACTTTCTAACCTTCCTGAATATCTATATTAATATCAAATAATGTGTTTTATTTTAGCACTAAAAAAAAAACATTTAACAGACTATGATTATTTTAAGAATTGCATAAAAAGTCGAGTTGCGCGCGTTTCCTCTTCTTTTTCTTAGAGGTGACCTTCAGCTGAATTTCCTCTTGGCATGTGCTAAAATAGTAAATATAATTTTTAAATAAACCAGTTATTATTTTTAATTGTAAAAATGAAGTGCTGTGAATTTCTAAATGCCATTTTTATTGGAAAATCACAATTTCGACGCTCGTAAATGCAACATTTTGTGTGAGCACTCCTCCAAATCCAAATAGTTTAAAATATATATTTCCCCCTTAGACCTCTTACCTGCCTCGGACGGAGACACCAAGACGATGACCTTCCTGCAGGAGGTGGTGGACATCTTACTGGCCTACATAGTTGAGTCTTTCGACCGGGAAACGAAAGTCATTGATTTCCATTATCCCAACGAGCTGCTGCAGCTGAACAACTGGGAGCTGCAGGAAGAGCCCGCCACCCTGGATGATGTCTTGATCAGCTGCCGCGCCACTCTCAAATACGCCATCAAAACTGGTAGGTGCATGGTGGGGAAAAGGGGAATAAAATGCACAAATCGAATTATATTCTGCTTGTTTGCATGCATGTTGCACATGCAGTAAAAATGCAGCAATTTATTTTGGAGATTTTATTATTTTTGCAACATCCTGCAAAGGAGAGTAAAACAAGGACAATGCTCTGTGTTGATATAATAAAACATGATGATAAAGGAGCATCAACATGCAAGCTGTCCTCCTCCTCCTCCTGCTGCATGGCCACCAGACCGATGAAGGCAGCGGTGCAGTAAATCAGCCTCAGCAGGCTGCAGATAATAGGCTAATAATCAGGCTTCATGGGCCAAGTCCATTATTCTCTGCAGAGTGGCACATGCAGGGGAAGATTTACAGCAACAAAAGTCACGGGCCTCCTGTATTAAAAAATAAAATGACATTTTATGCTTTTTATAACAGCTTTATAACGCATCTGATTGTTATTATATTATACATTGCATTTAATTTATGAAATATTGGATTTGTTAAAAAAAAAAATAATAATAATGGTGCAGATTCTGGGAGTGTTTACCCTTCATTAAATCTCAAACGCCACCCACTGCACCACCTAACATTTTCCTCATTCTTCGCATTACTCCGAGCACCTGCAGCTATGTCTGCACTGTAATTAAAGCGTTTTAAAAGTGACAGTTCTTTTTTTTTCTTCTTCCTAAAACTGCCAACGCCTTAACATAAATCACAGCCTCTCCTTCTTCCGCCCCCCCCTCCCTCCAGCCCACCCCAGGTACTTCAATCAGCTCTCCACAGGATTAGACATGGTCGGACTGGCAGCCGATTGGCTAACATCCACCGCCAACACCAACATGTGAGTGCACGCCGCACCATTTCCACTGATTAAAACGATGACAATGGATTCCATTTCCGGTGCATCCCTCCACCACGTTCTGCTCTGCGTCTGCTCAGGCTGATAGCAGCATTTTTTTTATTTTATTTACTCAAACGTGACAAATGAACGCTGCCCCCCCCCCTTTCCCATCCCATCCCCATGCCTTTTATCCCTCCCACTCACCTCTGATCCTCATGGGGATTCAAAGGGAAGAAAATTAGCTCTGAAATTAAATTCAGGCTAATCAGAAGCCAATTGTAGATGTGTGTTTTCAGGCTGATAAACTTGTTTTTGTGACTAACGCACCCCTTTTTGACTGAAAATAAATGTAAAAAGTGTGTATTTTTGCACTGATGGGAGATTTCTGAACCACACCTAAATGATGATGTCACTGAAACAGATTTTTCTACATGAAATCTTACTTTTCCCTTTAGAAAGGACATTTACTTGCATGTGTTTCAATGAAAACCTTTTAAAATTCAATGGTTAGAAAAAGGTGAATTCAGTGCACTCTCTTTTTGCAGTGACTCATGATTGCACCACATAACCATGATGGTGTCTTGCAGGTTTACCTATGAGGTGGCCCCTGTGTTTGTGCTACTGGAGTACGTCACTCTGAAGAAGATGAGAGACATCATTGGCTGGCCCAACGGGCAAGGAGACGGCATCTTTTCTCCTGGTACGTGTACAGTGCACACGGACATGACACCCCCTTCAGGGGCTGCAAATGGAACTGGCTGTGTGTGTTGTAATGTGTCAATTTGCATTTTGATGGCACAAATGGAAACTGTTTCAAGGACAATTACCATGAAATAATTTTGAAGCCTCCTTCCAATCAGCTCAGAGTCTCTCATTCGTCTCAAACACTTCTTGGCTCTGACATTGTGGCCTGTTCTTCTTGTTTTGTCTATTTTTCATATATGTGACGACATTTTGAGCATTGGTTTCGACATCTCTCCCTTGAGGCTGTAACATCTCTGTCTGTCCTCCAGGGGGGTCTATTTCTAACATGTACGCCATGCTGCTGGCCCGCTTCAAGATGTTCCCAGAAGTGAAAGAGAAAGGCATGTCGTCTGTCCCCAGACTGGTGGCCTTCACGTCCGAACATGTAAGGCCCGAGTACTTTCAGTCGATTCACTCATGGGGAAAACATAATCCACCCTCTTTCACTTCTCGGGGCCGGGACACTATAAAATGACCAGACTTCAAATTAACCTCAGGTGTACAAAAAACAGAAATTACCATGACATTATTTATTGAACCAAAACAATAGAGCTAAAAATAGAAAAGCTGTGAATGGAAAAACTAAGCCTTCCTTTGCTGTTTCAGGATTAGGAGGGGAAGTATCAGCCAGGTGCTGCTGATCACATGTATTGATTGGCTGATCATCATCATCATTATAATAATTTTAATCAATTAGTTCTTCAGGATTGTGTTAACCCCGGGGATTTGCAAACTTTATGATCAAAAGAGCCATTTCTGCCCCTTTGCACACTAAATAAAATGTCTATTGAAACACAACGCTGATAAAATTGTATCAACTGGCTTCAAGCTTGTTGGAGGGGGCTTTTCCAGCCAGTAGGTGTGATATTATGAAACTAAAATATCAAATTATTATTCATATTTATTGATATTTTTTTTTATTTTAGGGCAAAAGAAAAGACTGTATTTATGTAAAGAAGATTTTTTTTTTTAATTATTATTATGGAGTTTACTCAACATATTTCTTCTCAACAACTTGCCTTAAAGGTATTAGGGGTGTAAATCACCAACTTTACCACAATACAATATTATATTGATTTGTTTGTTTGACGATACGATTTTTCTCAATATCACAAAGTTTGTCCCGATACGATTTCGATTCTATTCGATTCACAAAGTCTGCGATCGATATATTGCTATATCAAATGCCCATCTCATTTACATATAAATACATTTTCAAAAACAATTCAAATATTTAAATAATAGAACATTTTTTCTTATTTAATAAAAAAAAAGACCTGTTCAGTATAGTCTCACATTTCTCATGTTTAAGTGCATTTTTTAAACCAGTTAACTTAAAAGTGCCCTGATTACCTTTCACTTATAAAGAAACAAAAATAGATATTGAGCTTACATAAGATGGCTATCAATGCAGTGTTTCTTTTTCAGGTGATGAGACAAATTTGTTGTGTTTCCTGAGTATTTTAACTCAAACTGGCACCTGTTGCATACGGCACAAGTTCTGTCTGTTGAGCCGTCTTTCTGGTGGAATCAAAAATATTTCCACAGTGTTGATTTAAATCCAGCAGGAGGGTAAATTTCATTATCTGTGTTTTCTGCCTTGTCTGCCATGTTGCTGAGGTGGCCGTGTACGGAGATTGGAGTTTCAAAATAAAAGCGCATTTTAAAGATGACAATATGAATCGATGTTTTAGTTTTGCCACGATATAAATGAATCATGAATCATTTAATCGATATATCGATTTAAATCGATGTATTGTTGCACCCCTAAAAGGTATCCCCCATAACATATGTTGGATTTTAGAAAAAGATCACACTGTAAAGACAGGAAGTGAGCTAAAAAAAGTGGCTAACAAACTACTAGCATGATGTAATTAACAAGTTTTACTTCTTGTGTTAGTATCATTCACATGTCGGTAAAAGAAATGACTGGAAAACTGCTAAAGCTATCCATTTCTTGTTGTTGGTACAACGACCAATACACTTCAGTTTTATGTTAGCCTTGATCAAAACGGGACCAAAGAGCTGCATGTGGCTCCAGAGCCGCAGGTTGCAGACCCCAGTGTTAACCCAATGTCAAAGCTGAAAGACATCAGATGCTCTTGCTGCCATCAATCTGAGAATTATTTGGAAGGAGAAAATCTCTTCTCTCTATAAATATGTGGCAGAACAACTTAGCTTTGTAAAATTTTATTTAAATGAACCACATGACCTCTGGACGGAGAAAGTTTAGAGATGAGATCAAAGTAGAGGTGTTTCATGCATGGCAGCACCATTAAGGGGGAGGATTTGGGCTCATTTCACAGCCGTGGAATCTGAGCGCCTTGCAGTCATTAAGGTGACTTTTGACTCTGTAAATTCTAGAGAATCAAACGTGAGGTTGTCGGTCTGAATCTTGGACCAAACCAGGTGATGAAATAGGTTTTATAATCCAAACACAGCAGCAATTCGAAAACAGAATGGCTCAAATGGGCAACATGTCTCTGTAACCAGATGAATGAAGCCCTGCACGAAGCAACTATGTTATTGTTGCTAATTGTGGTCTGAGGATAGATTTCAGAACATGATATAAACAAGATCTTTTTGTTTTATGCTGATCCATAAAACCCTAGATGTGAAAGATGTTTGTTGTTTCTTATAAATCTCCTTGTTGCATCAAATCACACTGTTTTCTTAAATGTCAAATATTTGCCCCCCACTCCACTTCAAGAGAAATAATCTCTCACATTAGCAGCAGCTCTGCTTGATTTATTTTTTACAAAGTGTCACAAGTTAACACATGTGTTTGTGTTGGACAAACACTGCAGTGTTTGTCCAACACGAAAGGACCCGAGGTGACGAGTGTTTATATGTCACCTCCTTCATCTTTAAAGGGCATTTGAAATATGGCTGACCAAAAAAAAGCTGTTAAAGGAAACATAAATAGATCACCAGAAATATGTTTTATAGATTTATTTCCGCTCACCTCCCCTCTCGTGTTCTCTCAGAGCCATTTTTCCATCAAGAAAGGAGCCGCAGCTCTTGGCATCGGGACTGAAAGTGTGATCTGCATCAAAGCAGACGAAAGGTAAAGGGCAGTTACACCATTTTTGTGCAAAGTTTGACCATGTTTGCAAATTTATACTTAGTCACTGAGTCACTTTTTGCACAGATTGTTTTATATTCATTAACTTGAAACCTAAAAGTGTAAAATGAATAAAATATAGCAACCAAATATTGAAGGTAATAAATATTTTTTTGCTTTTTACCTTTAATATTTATCCAAGGATGTCTTCGATTATGGCAGCATTTGTTAAAATTAATAAAGGACAAATTTCTGTGTCTGTGATTAGCAGAGATAATCTATGGTTTACACAAAATATATAAGAGTTAAACATCACATCATTGTTACCTGTTTAAAATAATACTACACATTTGCTGTTTTATTTACCAGATCTTTGTTCAGTGGCATGTTTTTTGACTTGTTTCTTTATAGAGTCAATCTTTTGGTGCTTATATATCAAGTTTTACTTCTAAACTTTGCTTTTCAGGATACTAAAAGACTTTCTTTTAATCAAGCTGTAAATATATCGTACATTGTGGCTGCAGCACTTCAGAGTTTGTTAAATTTTCCTAAAGCATTTCAGCTGTCTATCAAAGGCTGTTTGCCTGTCAGCAAATTACACAAATTCCTTTAGCATGTTTTCTTGACCTCCCAGATGATTGTTGTCCATTATGCAGTCATAAATTCAAGAAAACACTTCTTGAATGTGCGTTGCTGTTTTCTTTTTGCTTTCTGTTTATTGAAGACCTTGCGTTTTAGAGTGTTTGGTTGTAAATATATAAAAACATTTTTGAGTTATCCTTCAATTCTTTATATTTTGCAATGACTTGGACTTTCCTGCACTCTGAAAGCAGTCATGACAATTCTTTCTAAATGTTCTGATCTAAATGTTATTTTTTTAAATATATGTTTCAAATCTGACTCTTCTTTTGTCCCCCACTTTTGTCATCTTTCCACAAGCTGCTCAAAATTGTGCCAAGTTAGACAAAAATTAGACAAAATTTGAGTAAAACATGAGCTAAAGTCAAAAGAAATGCTGAAAAAAATTATCAGAAAGCTTGGAAGATAATAAGAACATCTGGCTCCATGGAAATACAACATAAATCAATTACAAGTGGCTTTAAACTATTTGCATATGATAGAAATTGCATTTCCTGCGAACATACAGTGTGAATACTTACTGCTGAACAACTTGCTGAAAAACAGCTGAAATGTAGCTGAAACCTGAAAAAGCTAAAAACAGCATAAAAAGAGCTGAATAGTGTGAAATAGCAGAAAAAGCTGAAACTAGCAAAAAAAAAAAGTCTGAAAGGAGCATAACAAGCTGAAATTAGCAGAAAGAAGTTAATTAGGCTGAAAGAAGCAGAAATGAGCACAAAATAGTGGAAATTGTCTGGAAAATAAACTGAAATAAGCAAAACCAAATGAAAAGTATCTAAAAAAAGCAGCAAGAAGCCTAAATTAGCAGAAGGAAGTAGAGAGTGCACATTTTTGCCCAGTTAGGCTGAAGAAAAGTTGAAATGAGTCCAAAAAATGTGTAATGAGCTGAAAAAGCTAAAGTTAGCAAATAAAGCTAAATAGTAGCTGAAATAGCAGAAAAAGCTGAAATTAGCAGAAAGACGCTAGAAGAAGCACAAAAATGTTGAAGCTAGCAGAAAGATCCTGAAAGGAGCACAAAACAGCTAAAATAAGCTGAAAGTAGCTGAAAAAGTTTACATTTTCACAATGAAGCTGAAAGAAGCTGAACTAGAACAAAATGTGTAAGGAGTAGTAAAAAGTTGTAAACACATCTAAAGATTTGAAGGATGTAAAATGAGCTCAATTTATTTTCTTTGAGAAAAAAAATGGCAGAAAAGACTAAATCTTTCACAAAGCTAAAGTTGCACCAACACCAAAAGTCATAGCAGGATTTTCGTGAAAGAGCTAAACATTTTGATATATGATTTGTTAAAATAGCTTAAAAACTGCGAGCTAAGAATCGCACCCAAAAATGTACGGAAGAAAAATAGATCACAATAGTGTGAATGCTTCATAAGAATTCACACAATTACTGTAAACTTGTATCATCTGCTCTTATTAATTATTGTCCACAAGCAATTGAATCACCAAGGTGATGATCAAAGTAAAAAAAATAAATGAATACAGCTATTTAGATGCTCAAAATTCTTACAGTATATTTATTTTATTAATTGAAAATCTATTTATCTTCTACACATTTGTCTTCTCAGGTACAACCAATGTAATTTAGCCAAATGATTTTAACAATTTTAGTAGCATAATAAACTAGCGTCACATCGAGGAGGCATCAGTGGATGAATGTAAGATTGTTATGCATACTTGGAAGTTTTTTTTTTTAAAGACAAACCTGAACTCCATTGTTGTAAAATTGAAATTCATTTATGTAGAACATCTATTTTGGTCACTAAATGTGCAACTTCAACACCCTTTTTTTTCCAGTGGTAAAATGATCCCATCTGACCTTGAGAGGAGAATACTGGAGGCAAAACAGAAGGTACCACAACACGCGTTCACAACGTGCTTATAAATACACAGAAATGACTTTAGACAGCTTTGAGTTGATGGTTTTGTTGAACTGAAACATCCCTGATGATGATGATAATGATGATGATGATGATGATTTGTAAATATGCTGTTGTAACAAGGTGCTGCTCTGTGAGCTGTGTGTTGTTTGTTCTTGTGCAGGGGTTCGTCCCGTTCTTTGTGAGTGCCACAGCTGGTACGACCGTGTATGGAGCCTTTGACCCCCTCGTCGCCATCTCTGACGTCTGCAAAAAGTACAACGTCTGGATGCATGTGGATGTAAGTCACATATATAAGAATAGAAACATTCAAACCTCAACAAAAGGAAAATAATTCTAGTAGCTTTTATTACGTACATGCTAAATGTTAGGAGACGTCTTTTACTAAAGGAGCAGACAAAACCACACAGCTCACGACAGACTTTGGATGAATCTATTATGTCTGCCTCGCCTCTGCTCGTCGTTGACCCAGATAGGGAGCAAACCATTTCCTATCCAACACTGGCGATTAGAAAAACTGGAGCAGAGGCTGTAAATCATCTCCTCCCCTGACTTCGCCATCACAGGCCTTCTCAGCGAAGAACTCTATCTATTAAGAGAGGTGATGTAGTCCTGACAGGGGACACCTCTATTAGGAGGCACAAATGAGCTTGTCTATCAGTCTTCAGCTTTGGAAAAAAAATCAAATTTTACAAGATTTATGACTCCATGTGTTGTAGCATGTGCTTTCTGCTTCGGCTCCTTGTGGCTGAATCTTTCTCGAGCTTTTATGGAGCTGTTAATGAAAAAATAAAAAAGAACTGCAAACACCATCTTTAAACATATTTTCTCCTTCAACTTTAGAAGGCACTGCTCCTGGTGTCAAGCATGGAGGTGGGAGCATGATGTTGTGGTACTGGTGCATTGTAGAAATGAATAATGGTGATGGAGGACATCTACCTGCAAAATATTCAACTTCATCCCAGATGAAAAATGAGACAGTAAAACATGAACATAGTTGAGTCTTCCAACAAGACAATCATCCTCAACTGGTCTTTGATCACATAAATCAGATTAACATTAAGTTTTTGGAATGACCTATTCAAAACATCAACCTCATGTCAATTAAAAATGTGTGGACTATATTTAAAAGCTGGTCTTGTGCCTGGAAACCATTTTAAATTAAGGTTATCAGAAAATTGGTCCAATAGCAACCACATTTAACATGACATGTTTTTAAAAGCTACAACAAAAAAAAGGATGGATGCAGGCGGATGGCAGAGAGCAGTGGGAGGCAGAGATCACAGATCATGACATGTTGTGCTCTTTTAGAGCGTTCAGAGTTTAGAAACATTGTTTAGAATATTGCAAGAGTGTAAGAAGGGCCTTAAAAATGCCTTAATGCCTTAAAAATATATAATATAGTACATGTATTATTCCTACTTCGCAGTTGTTCACTTATAGTGGGGCTTCAGGGTACAGATCCCCGCGATAAATCAGAATCAGCTTTTTTGTCATTGCACCGAAGCACAAAGAAATTACATTTCAGTACAGCCCATCCAAGTAAAACACAAACAAACAAACATGGGGAGACGGAGGTGTCTGAGGCTGCGGCCTCGTGGGAGGCGTTGCCCTTTTCGTTTAGATAAAAAGAGAAACATGAGGGAAGTGGAGTTGTAAAACAAATCATATCTCACTCTATGTCCTAGATGGGACACAGTGTTAAAGTTGCCAAAAAAAAGTCTCGGCACAGAAATAGCAACATATTGATGACATTATAATACATATGCATAAGGAAGGTCGACGAAGGCGGTGAGTTTGTCCATGGACACTGCCAGATAGCTCCATAGTCCTGATAAGAGATGGTGCAGTGCCTATCAGCCGGCTCAGCTCTGACACAGGTCCACAGATGTCCTCGAGAAGGGAGGGGGGCAGAGCTTCTTGATCACATAACATCCAGGAATGTTTAACCTCCAGATAAACAAGGAACTACTGTATGTATAATTTAGATGCTTTGTGGTTTAAAGAAAATCCACAATTTTCTATCTTTTGCACCCAGTTCTAGTTTCATAAACTATTACATACTGTTACATACTCATATAATTCCACCTTGGAAAAAGGACTTCTGACATAAATAATTAAAAAACCTAAATTAATATGCCATTCATGTCATGAAGAGTGGATGTAAACTTCTGGCCTAGACTGTAACACCACATACAAAATTATATTAAAAGTGTGGGAAAATGTTTTAATCCCTGTACCCATAGATGTCTAAATAAATGATTATAGCTAAAACACAATTTAATTGGTATCATTTTTAAAAATTGACTTTCAGCTGACAACATTAAAGCATCAAAATGATCCTCATATTCTAGACTAAATCTATAAAGAATAATTAAAACATGCTAAAAAAACGAGCTTCTGGTCTGATTTTTGAAAACTTTACCATGATCTGTGAAAGTTTGGGGGTGTTTAATCAGCAAACATGTGTGTGTGTTTCCATCAGGGGGCGTGGGGAGGAAGTCTACTCATGTCCAGGAGACACAGATGGAAGCTGAATGGAGTTGAGAGGTGACAACATATTTTCTTTTTAACATGAAGCAAACAATTAAATAATTTAACAATGAATGATGATATTTTGAATCACCGCAGTGCCAACTCTGTAACGTGGAACCCACACAAGATGATGTCCGTTCCTCTGCAGTGTTCTGCCCTGCTGGTCAGAGAGGAGGTAACCTTTGCTTCAAGACGTCCTTTGCTTTCCTGCGTCGATCACTCGAGCTAACGCTGCAAACGTTTGACTCTGCAGGGTTTGATGCAGAGCTGCAATCAGATGCACGCCTGCTACCTGTTCCAGCAGGACAAACACTACGACCTGTCCTACGACACCGGGGACAAAGCGCTGCAGTGTGGACGTCATGTGGACATCTTCAAGCTGTGGCTCATGTGGCGAGCTAAGGTGGGGGCTCTGTTCTGGCTGCAGGAGGCAGAATGAGGAATCCAAGATGTGCTTTAATCACATAAAAACAAGCAAATGATCTTCTTGTGTGTGTCAAAACAGAAATACGCCACTAGTTTTTATGTATGTAGGACATTAAATTAATCCCAAATGCTACCGCAACTTTGGTTCAGAAATATACAAAATAAATATAACAAATATAATGGTTTTGTGATATCAATGTGCACATTATAAAATCACAAGAGCAGCTATTTTTCTACAATTTTTCATCCCTAAAATTACTCATAAAAAAAGACAAATTTTCTGGTGCAAAAACAATAAAAGGGCTACAAAAAGTACAAATGTTAAAAATAAATATAATCATGATATAATGATAGAGCCAATCATTTATCAGTGAATATAGTAATATAACAACAGAAGGAAAACCTTCAGTTTTAATATTCTAAGTCTGTGTTGCACAGCAAAAATATAATATGCATGTTTATAATAAAAGAATAAGAATTGATGAGATTTTGAGGGGGTGTCCATATTTTCGTGCAGGGCTATGCAATTGATGGCCCGCGGGCCACTTCCGGCCCACAGTTGACTTAAGTCCGGCCCATCAATGAGTTAATAAATTATAATAATTATTATTTATTTATTTGGGGGTTCTAGGTTTGGGTTTTAAGCTCTGTTTATTGCATTTATGACTCAATGCAATAAAACAAACAAATTTAAAAGGTAGCAAATCATTGTAATACTTGGTTTATTTACATAATGACTTTAATTGCTGGATGTCCGGCCCCTGAGCTGCTGGTTTTCAGAAACTGTGGCCCCCTGAGCAGTTTAGTTGGATAGCCCTGTGTTAGTAGTGGATCCAGTGTAGTGTATTAAATATGATTCTAGGAGCCAGCAGGAAATATTTCTTGCCAAACCTGAAGATAAATCCAAATATTTCACGGGTCGGATCTCACAGAAAATCTCTCCTCTCCAACAGGGCACCATTGGCTTCGAGGCTCAAATAGACAAGTGCTTGGAGTTGTCGGAGTACCTCTACAACAAGATCAAAGACAGAGAAGGCTACGAGATGGTCTTCGACGGGAAAGTACGTTCACGTTTATCCCCCACTCTCCTCTGCAGCCACAAAGCCAGAGCAAATGATCCAGCATCAGCCTGCGTTGCTCCTCTTACCTCGGTGTCATTACGGGTGACTTGATTGGCACTCGGAGTGCTCCGGCTTTGTGTTGGACGGATGCCATTGTTACTTCTAGCCTCCGGTATAATGTGCAGCCATTATGTCTAATGAATAGAATAAGAGCCTGTAATTGCTAATATGCATATGAATAGCACGCTGTCTGAAATATCCTCACTGAAGCTAAACTATGACACAAACATATGTGGGTATGGCCAGGGGGGTGGAGTTTAGTCAGTGGACACTTAGTGTCATAATGTTTCAAGGCTTATTGTTTTTCTGCTGAGCCCACCCAAAAGACTAAAGGCATCAGAGTGTGTTGAGAACAAGCGTTAGTCCTTTAGGTGCTGACCTGTACCCCCCAGTGAGCTATTAGATCAATATGAGGTTGAACGTGGACCAAGTGAAGCAGCCCAGCTGTGTAAATGAAGCTGCTGTGTTCAGCATGGTTAGTCAGCTGCTGGTAATGAACGCTTTTCCACTCACAGGCAGTTTGTCAGAGAGTCCGTCGGTTCAGCAGCCAAAACATCTGAAATGTGAGGAGCTTCAGGCTTATTGTGGAGTGGATCTACCTGCCTGATGCTGGATTACCACATGCATTTATTGTGTGAATGTTTATGAAGCATTCACATTATTGTGATCCATTTTTCTTCTGTATATTTTTTCGTATGTTTCTCGTTCTGCAATATTTGTGCTATTTCAACAAACCATATATCAAAGCGTTCAGCTCGTTCAGGACAATTCTGCTATGACTTCTGGTATTGGTGCAACTTTAGATTTTTGAAATATTTGGCCTTTTCTGTCATTTTTCCTCATAGAAAATGAATTGAGCTCATTTTACATCCTTTAAATCTTTAGATCTGTTTACAACCTTTTACTGCTCCTTTCACATTTTGTTCTGCTTCAGATTCTTTCAGCTTCTTTGTGCAATTTTTTAAAAAATGTTGCTGCTTTCAGCTTATTTCATATCAGCTGTTATTTCAGCTGTTTTGTGCTCCTTTCAGATTAATTCTGCTAACTACAACATTTTTGTGCTTCTTCTAACTTAGTTTGGCTAATTTCAGCTTGTTATGCTCCTTTCAGCTTATTTCTGCAAGTTTCAGCTTTTTCTGCTATTTCAGCTACTTTTTATCTTTTAATGCTAATTTTGGCTTTATCAGCTAATTCCACATTTTTTGCACTCATGGCAATTTTTCTTTAGCCTAATTCAGCAAAAATGTGCTCTCTTTAGTTCCTTCTGGTAATTTAAGCTTCTTTCTAATTTTTAAGCTGCTTTTCAGCTGTTATATATATTTTTTTTTTTTTTGGGGGGGGGGGGTTCTTCTCATTTCAGCTTTTTTCAGTTAATTACCACTTTTTTTGTGCTCATTTATGCTTCTTTCAGCCTAGGGCATACATGTGCTCTTTCTGCTTTCTATTGCTATTTTAAGCTTGTTCTACATTTCAGCTAGCTTTTTAGCATTTTTAAATAATTTAGTCTGTTTTCAGATAAATTCAAGTTATTCATAATAATTTTTGCTAATTTCAACCTAGTTAACTTATTTATGGTAATTTCAGCTTCTTATGCTCCTTTCAGCTTTTTCTGCTAGTTCATCTACTATTTAGCTGTTTTATGCTAATTTCAGCCTTTTCAGCTAGTACCACATTTTTAGCTCATTTCAGATCTTTCCATTTCCTTCTGATAAGCTTCTTTCTGCCTTTTCAGCATTTTTTGTGTGTGAATTTACTGGTAATGTCCTATTTTTGTGCAAATTTCTGCCTAATTCAGCAAAAATGTGTTCTGCTTTTTTTTCCCCGCTAATTAAGGCTTGTTCTTTCATTTCAACTACATTTAAGCATGTTTTTTTTAGCTAATTTCAGCTGTTTTTCAGCACGTGCTTCAGCAATAAGCATTCTCACTGCATTTTCATAGGAAATGAAATTTCTCTAGTTTTTTTTTTCTTTGTGATATAAAATGCTATTTTCAATCAAAATCCCTTTTTTGTTTTATTTATTTACTTTTTTTTTTGTTTTTTGGGGGGTGTTTCAGAAATTTTGTTTCTAGATGTTTTATCAAATTACTCCTTGTTTTTTCAAGCTTTTTTTAATTTTATTTTTACTTAGAATAGTTTTGATATTGTGATAAATAAAACCTATTTTAAAACCCCAGTGACAGTGATACTGAATGAAAAAAATATGTCTGATGCAGGAAGAGACAAAGAAAAACATGATATTGCTGAAATATCTCCAGTGAAATTCTAAAAATATAATAAATTTTTTTATTTTATTTTTTTACACATACATTAAAGTGAATGTGTCTCCATGTCCAACATTGTTACTGAATGGTTCAACTTGTGGAGATGTTTTTCTCCTTCTCTTCGTTGGTTTTATGTCTTACATCTTGTTTCCTGTGTGTTCCCTCAGCCTCAGCACACCAACGTTTGTTTCTGGTACCTCCCCCCTGGGATTCGCTACATGGAGGACAAAGAGGAGAAAAAGAAGCGATTGCACAAGGTGGGTGAGCTGAGATAAGAGACCGGACTGCAGCACGTGCTCAACACACATTTCATGTGCCAAAAAAAGCCTGCCGCTCACATCCGAGGCAACCATCACACGTCTGGCTAATTAGGCTCAGCTTACATTAATAAATATGCGCTTGACAAAAATTAAACTGATAGTTTTAAAAAAAGGGAAAGTGTCACAGAGGAAGATTTAAATTGAAATGTGTCTAATGCCTCCAGCCATTAATCATTACCATCTTTGTTATAATTCATGTGCAGACTGTTCTGTCAGCTTCTGTCAATGAGAGATGATGTAATGCTGAATGACTTTGAGGAGAAAGCCTAAATTGGAGGAGCTTTGCTTAGTTTTCACTTCTTCTGACAAAAAGTGCTGGAAATATGTCAGAAGTCTGATTTGATGGAAATCAGAAGCATGATTTGATGTTGTGTCATGTGACCTGCCAACGGTTGAGATGAAATTACGTGTTTGCATAGGATGACTATAAAAGAATGAACTTTGGTTCCACAGAGTTTTAGTTAAGCATTTAAAGTTCTGCTTTTTAAAGAAATTCTTACAATTTATTTAAATTATTATAGATTGTGTCATAGATTGAGTTATTATAAATCATCATTTACTCCAGTTTCCACCAATGAATCCATCCAGTTGCTCCGTATTCATTCAACCTTTATTCATACAGGTTAGTCAGTCCCATTGAGCCTCAGGGACTCATTTACAAGAGAGACCTGGTTTTAACAGTGTTAAAAGTAGATAAAAGTTACAAAAGTAGACAATTATAAAAATACAAATTGAGAAGAACAAATAAAAGAAAATGGTATTTAAAAAATAATAATAATAATAAAAAAACAGCTAGGTTGTAAGACAGTGTAGAAAACTAAAAACAGGAACATGTCTGTGTTGGTTTTTGCCATGACCTTAACAGATGTTTGAAGCCACTTAGAGAGGTCAAGGTTGAGAGCTTCAGATCTTTTTGCAAGATATTCCAGAAAATAGGAGCGGAGTAGGAGAAGGCCCTTTCACCTAGTTCAGTCTGCACTTAGAGAACACTGCAGGTAATAATGTCCTGAGAGCGCACAATGTAGCTGCACTCACACAGAGACATGTAGGAGGAGATGTATGAAAGCAACAGACCAAGAAGTGATTTAAAGATGAAAATGTACCAGTGAGAGAGTCTGCGTGAAGATAATGATGACCAGTTAACCAGTGAATACAGGGTGCAGTGGTGTGTACGGTAGTTGCAGCCAGTTATGAATCTTAGCGCACTGTGATAGACAGCGTCCAACATCTGCAGGGTGCTTGTAGGGGCGTTCATGTAAATAATGTCATTGTATACAATTATATACAAATATTCATTACTCATTTCCTTAAAACAAATACTGCCATTCTCACAAATATTACATAGTACACTGAACATTTAAAAATATTTCAGAGTCATCCATGCTGAAGTTTTCCCCTTCCTTTTAATGTTGCTCCTGTAGTTTTTGATCAAAACAAGTTTATTTAAAAATTTAGGCCTTTTCACTGCACAAATGTATCTGAAAAATAAATGATGGCAGCTGCTTTAGTCTTGGAGATCAACCTTCAACTGACAGGGGTTGTAGCCCTGTCTACCCCACTGGTGTCTGATTTGAGTGGAAATAATGAACTACAATAGCCTGAGGGAAAAATGGGACTTTTGTAGCTGATAGAGGAGCATAGAAAAAGACCATCTGATTACTTGTCTAAAAGCAGGGGCAATGCCAAAAGAGGTGGAGGTGGGGGAGTAAATGCCCCCCTCCCTTATAAATGTGCCTTTTCCTATAAAATTTGATGGAGTATGCATATTTGTATTGTAATTGTACTTCACCTAGTTCCGCTTGTAAGCAGACGACTTTTCAGAAGTTTGTAAAAAAAATAATTTCCTTTGTGGAATTGCATTGAATAATCTTGTGTTAGATCAAAACTCATATTGGATTGCATAGTACTGTAAGTAAGTGCTAAAATGTTTGGTTCTGTGTTGGTTTTGGCTGGTCTCATGTATCTTTATTGTAATGAATTGTTGGCAGTTTATCAAGATATGTACCATATCACCTAAAAACCAGAGATGCACAAACATAACACGCATACACATACACATGCTCTATTGTTCACTTTTCATTCATTCTTCAACCTTTATTTAAACAGATAAATCACATTGAGCCTCAAAGACTCATTTACAAGTGAGACCTGTTGGGACAGACAATAAAAAGTGGTGAAAATGACAACATAGGGTTTGAAGACAAAAAAAAAATCCTAACATGCTCTTAATCTTTGGCTGAAGGTTAATAGCATGATAATTAAAAAAAACTTGCACACAAGCACATAATGATGCCGACATTCCGCAGTGAGTGGGACGCAAGGGCGGTGAGCATGTCCAGAGACAACACAGAGAGGCACTGCCGAGTTCAGATAAAATCACTCAGTTCAAATAGTTCCCTCTGGAGAGATCCATACACTCTCGGGGGATGCTGAGGAAGGCCAAGGACGTCGGATAGAATCTAGAGTCCTGAAATGATGACAGATTCAGCTGGGTGCCTCTGATTGGTCTGTAGGCTTCCTCGTGGGAGGGGGGAAAGGCAGAGCATCAAGGTTTACAGAGCTTCCAGGCAATTAAGATAAGGTGGCCTGTCAAGGCCAGTCAGGGAGCCAAATTCAGATAAGCTCGATTGTTTTGAGAACAGGCAGAATTTTACTGACATCTACCTTGAGTCTGTGTCAGTCCACTTGGTTCTGAAATGTCCAAGTTAATGGTCACACCACATGGTCTGATCCATCCTGCCAAAAGCATTTGAGTCTGGGTGCTCGAGGCACGACCCAAGCCATCATATCAGACAGGCTGACCAGGTCCAAATTTTCTGCCAACAGCTTCCTTGTTTGTTGATAAACCAGGAACCAGCCAAATCCAAAAAAAACCAGGAAACCAGTTATCATAAATCCAATTATATATGCGTCCTTAAAATTCACAAATTGCAGCAGAGATAGACACGTCATCAAGTCTTCCAAGTTGATGGGATATCCAGCTGTGTGCATGCCAACAGGGCAAATTGGCTCATCTAAAGCCTGTCTTCTCTTCTAAGAAATGTTTTCAATTGTGTTGAGGGACCAACTGACCAAATCCATAGTAGAATTGTGATTCGAAAGATTTGTAGAAGAGAGGCTCTATAACAGTTTCACAAACAGGACAGAGCAAAGCAAAGTGGAGAGGGAAAGGAGGAGAAATGCGTCCGCCCTTGACAAGAGCAAGTGTTGAAGTTTGACTCATCTCTATAAATATTACAGACTCTCATTATCTGTTTGCTTGTAATGTGTGATTTATTTTGCTCTGACTTTCTCCTCCATGGGACTCCTCTAATCCAATGTTCTGCATGTTGTCAGGTGGCTCCAGTGATAAAAGCCAGGATGATGGAGTACGGGACAACCATGGTCAGCTACCAGCCTCAAGGAGACAAGGTCAACTTCTTCCGCATGGTGATCTCCAATCCAGCTGCTAGCTTCGAGGACATTGACTTCCTTATCGAGGAAATTGAGCGACTCGGCCATGATCTATAAGACTCCTCTCACCAAGTCCTCCTCCCACTATCACCCCTCGATGGATGAAATGTTTGTCATGAATGTACCGGTAACCATTTTCTTTGTTTTTCCTTTTTCCTCGTAAAGTTTCACAATTAAGAGTAAGTTTGAGAAAAATATTACAAATATATCCATATATTATGTACCGCAGCTTTTGTGTGGACTGACATGGGTCAAAGCTCAGTAAAAGTGCTTCTGTCTGCCTTTATTATTGTGTAGTAGCTGCAAGATTAGTGTACTTGGTGTACCTTTACATGTACTTTGTGTGATATGAAATGCTATGCTTGTGCAATAAGTCAATGAGGAAGACTTTTATTTTTGAATCATTACTCTTTTGCTGAGTATGTTGTTAAGTGCCAAATGTTGTTTTCTGATGTAAATTTAACATTTTACACTTCCAATTTAAAACAAAAAAAGCACTTCACCTTTACCTCAGCTTAATCAACTGCCTGTACACATGGAGATAGTACTTTAAGTAGTGATTTTGGACAAACTTTTATTATTTAGTGTTGTATAGCAGCACCAGCAAATGTTTGAGATGTTTCCCCAGCCACAAAAAATGTGATTAAATACATATAAATATATAAATGAATAAATATACATTTCCTCCAAAATATCATAACAGCAAGGTACTAAAATACAATTTAAAATATTATTTAATGTATCAAATACTTTTCACTCTTTATTCTTGTTTATAAGTGTTTAAAATTGTAAAAATGACTATTGCCTATACCAGATTCTTAGCTGTATATTTAGCTGATAAGAATGTTTTACGTATAGCGTAAAAAATTAAATCTAATCTTTAGTCTTTACTGGGTTGAAGTGCCATGTTTCCACATAACTCATACAAAGTATTGGTACTCTGTCATTGCTGCTTTGTGTAGCAACTCTGTTGATTACTCATAGAGTCACCTAATGCACAAACCAGTGTTACATCTTATGGCAAAGCCTATTTCTATACATGCAGTTCTGTTAAAGGTGCAACTTTAAATGTCTGCTGCCCCCAGTGGTCAATACCTGCACTGCATGCATTGGCATCTTAGTCACATTTTGCTACAATCTTTTGCATTTGTTTCAGCCTGTGTTGCTCAGAAGGTGTTTACAGCCAGAGTGATGGCTAGAATTTATTTTAAGGTTCATTTTAAACATGTTCAAACCATTCTACAGCTGAACAAATTTTCTGCTGCTCCTAATGGTTCCAAAAATAATTCAACAAAGCAACTTAGAGAGGTTGTTGTGCTGCACATTTGGACCATTTGTTGCATTTGTTTTGTATTAACTGTGTGTAGGAAGTATTGAACATTTAACTGCATGTTTGAGATAACTACCCGGGCGTACTAGAACTTACCTTGAATATTGATTTAATTTGGGATTTGAGTTGCCTGCAAGGCAACTCCATTGCCCAGTCACGATCATAGGATGTTTCTTGTTATTTTAGTTGTTGTTGTTTTTGTTTGTTTGGTTGTTTGTTTTTTTACCTAGCATCCTGTTCTGGCTGCTTCTTGTACGTTATGGGTGTAACAGGTCATCAGTGGTCATTCCTAAATAATTGTGTTATTTTTCAGTGGAAAATGACATAACTAAAGATCCGGGGAGTGACAAAAGTTCCTTCAGCTCTTCAATGAACATTTACAGCCCAGCCTTACACCTATTTGGCATCAGTTATATCCAAAACCTATATTTTAATTAAAAGAGAAAACAACAAGAGTGAAGAATTTGCCTGTCGAAATTATTTCTAAAAGATTTTCTTATCTTCTCTTTTTGGCAGAAATTTAAAAGACCAGCCTGTTCACTGATGGTTGCCCTTCAATCAGCAGCTGCTTCGAATGTTGTCAGACCATTAAATGGTTATTTGTTGTTATCATCCCCATAGGTTGTGTTCAGACTGTCCCTCCTGTGCCTCCTAGTAGGTTTAAAGGTACATCCTTATCGCTGATAATATGCAGCTTGGCCCACATCTAAAACCGGAAGCTTTTTTTTTATCTTTATTTAACCCTTTTCCTAACCCTGACACTTTGCCTAACCTCTGGACCCTTGACATATTATCAGCGATAAGAACGTACCTTTAAACCTACTAGGAGGTACAGGAGGGACAATTTGAAGGCAACCTATGGTGATAGCAACTAATAACAGCCATGTAATGGCTGATAAGATTCTAAGCGAGTGCCAGTCTGATCCGACTGATTAGAGCTGGGTTATGAAAGACAGAGTGCAGGCCTGCACAATATATACAAACTAGATTGTTATTGCAGTATCACTGAGCACAGTATTAGTCTTTACAAAGTACTTTTGTTAATTACAGAGTATTAAATCCCAAGTGCCATGCATTTAGACTCTGTCTGCCAGGAAACATTTGGACAATAAGACAATCCAGGGCAAGTTTTAAAGGGCAACATGCTAAAACATGCAGTGTGTTGTGAACGTAGGGATGATAAAAGGAATAGAGCAAAGGAAATGTGAGTTTTTCACAGCTGATAACACAGTTTAAAACACTGTCAGGTTTTCCTTTAATTGTGTGACCCTGTTGATGTCCAGATGTTTTATTTAATTGGCTGCTAAATACAGTTGTTTTATAAAGTGCCTGCCATTTCCCAATAACCTAATAGTGCATAATAGTCAGATTTTGCAATGCGAAAAACTATCTGACAGGTTGAGGATGTGATTCTAAAATCAATGGGCGTTGAATATATTCAGTCCTGATTTGTGCTCAGTTTTGATGCCATTATTAGGAAGTCTAAACTAAACATGTACACAGCAATCATTATGTGATTATAAACTATTAGTCTAATTAAACAAGCCATTTGTGCTGCTAATTTTCTGGGCAAAGTTTGGGAAGAAGAGCGTAAAGCATGAATTTTAAAAGGTGCCCGTCAAAACTTGAGGTATTCAAAACTTTTAAAATTGAGAGAAATGATGGAAAGTCTGGAGGCAGATTGCACAAGAAATGATATACTGGAAATAAGACACTAAATCTTCTGATTTATTTATTGATTGCCGTTACCAGAGAAGTGGAAAACTTCTCCTGGACATATAACCAGGAATGTGATGTGGAACCATTAATATGTTTGTGTTGTTCAGCGGTTAAATAAAGCATGTGCCGCAAAGCAGCAGATTAGAAGCTAAATAACGTTAACAGGTTCACTAATAGTAGGCCCAGCATCACCTGCAGTGTTATTTATGGCCAGATAATTTCCTGTAACATGTATATTCATTATCTGTTACACCCAGATATAACACACAATGCCAAATCAGACAATTCAGAAATCTACTAGAATATAATTTCAAACTCTTCAAACTTTTGGTTGAGCACCTATTAAAAAAACATTTAAGAAACTGGTGGTGGGGCAATAAATATATTTTTCCTTGGCTTTTATAGACTGAGTCAGATGTGCTGTACATCTGACATCACTTGCACTAAATTATTGTGGGGAGGAGCAGCAACTCCAGGAGCTTTGCAACCAAAGTTCCTTCTGAAGTCATTCACAAGCAATATTTAAGAAAGGGTCCAATTTACATATCCTGCCAAACTGCAAAATACTGTAATGTCAGTTTTACAAACTAATCAAAATGACGCACATAATAGTTTGCAAAAAAAAAAAAGTCCTCAAACATCCTTATTGTAAGCAGGGTTAACTGTTGGAATGTGAACTCTGAGTAAAAAGCAGAAGTTCGTAGCATTTTCATTAGAGTATGGTAGAAAAGCACAATTCGCTCAACATGGTCGGTCAAAGTACAATCACTTTAGATCATAAATTGTAAATACTAATTCCAGATGTCCTAAGTACATATCTTTATGTAAACATATGTGTATATAAGACATATAACCAGAGACTATTTGTGAGGTAAAGTTCTTCATATTTTCTCTATCTCTGATATAGATGCGATGTATTTTCATCTTGTTAGCCTAAAAGGCTGTTTTTTTCTGTGTGTATGTACGTATGTATGTTTGTACGTATGTATGTCAGATACTTTGTGAATCTTCTAGCTATCTCAAAGAAAACCTGTGTCAGGGACTGGCTTTAAAAGGATCAGACAGATTTCACCTTGAACTACTGATGAGTCTCGGTCAGAGGCGCGAGACTCCGGTTGTTTGGATGTTAAATTAATATGCAAAGCCATTTTTTGACTCTGAAGTTCTGTGTTTTTTGTGCACAAGTGATACTTGACAGTACGTGCCGACGTGTACCTTAGTGTGTGTGTAACTGTGCTGCCTTAGTAGAGACTTTTCAGTATTGTCTAGTTTTCCTCCAAATCAGGAGGTTGTGCACTTAAGAGTATACTATGACTTAAAATGTCCAATGAGTTGATGTTAAAAAATATTCTGCTAAAAATACTTTAAAACATTTCAAAGCAAAAGTGTAGACATTTTGAAGTGGGCTTTTATCTAGAAGTTATGAACAATTGTCTTTTTGTTTGTTTTATCTGTACGTAGCTCTTTAGACACTTAAGTTTAGAGCAAGAAAGTTTAAATGTGGCTGGATTGAGCTCAATCTAAGCAGAAGGATTACTCTCATTTTAAAACTACTTCAGTGTCAAAAATATCAGTGATTTATGCAAACACTGTTTAAGAAGCTTCTAAACCTGTATCTCACTGGGCAGTTGACGGTCACACATTTTCCTAATTATGTCTCAATTATGTCTTAATTTGATTGCAATTTATTCTATTTTGGGTCTCCAATCAGTCTCAATTTGATTTCATAGGTTGCCAGACTCCCCAAAGTTGGCTCGCATGTCTTGCACTGTCTGACTAAAGTTAGATGAAAAGGATTTGAGGATTCAGATGTCTGTAACAACTCTGTGACTATTCTGAGACAAAAAAAAAATCTTTCTTTTTTTGTGTTCAAAATTCCTGTGACACAAGGGCAAGTCCATGAGATGCACACAAAAATTAAGAATCCTTGCATAACCCAACAAAGTTCAGTCAGGTCCCCTGGATGGTTTCTTTTTTGTTGATTGTTTGTTTTTGTTTTGAGACATTTCGTCCTTCATCCAAAGCACTTCATCAGTCTGAGGAGTCACAACAGATTGAGTCCCACAAGCAGCAAACTCATGTAGTGGACCAACCATTTGGCTGGTGATAAGATGGTTTCTGAGGCCTGCCCTCTCCCCGTCAACTCCTCTGAGACAGCCGTAGCCAAAGTGGTTCAAAACATCAAAGTTCATGCTCAATAATCCAGGAAGAAAATCCAAGAAAGTTCAGTCAGGTTATCTGGACAGTTTCTTTTTGTTGTTGTTGTTGTTGAGACGTTTTGGCTCCTTGGACGGTTGAAGTCCTTTGGATGAAGGATGAAACGTCTCACCAAAAAAAAAAAAAAAAAAACCATCCAGATGACTGACTGAACATTGTTGGATTTTACACCTGGATTATTGAAGATGAACTTTGATTCCTCGCAAATGTTTTGAGACTTTTAAGAAACTCCTTTGCAAGCACTATTTAGTTTGTTGTCATCTGTCACAGCCCAGTGAGGTACAAGCTTACATTTTGCCTCACATGGTTATGCATGTACATTTCAGCAATCAACTGCGTGCTTAGTGACAGCAGTAACTAGCTGTAGCATATTTGGTGCAGCCTGGGGCTCTTTCAACAGGAATTCCATATTCGGTCAGAAAAAAAAAAAAGCTCAGTGCAAAATTAACAGCTGCTCAAAGATTTTTAAAACGTGCTGAAAACCAGCAAGCCACTGATGCTTGGACTAATAATTTGCTGGACTAGTAATTTGCTAATCAGTCCAGTCAAAATTAAACACCCTTTCTCCAAATCTGAGGTAGTTCAAATCGCTATATGTAACAGGTAAGATATTAATTGTTCACAACCTGTCTGATAACCCCTCTTC